CCAATATTTATGTAATCCACTTTTTCGGCTGTTGGGTATTAAGAGCTTTACTGTGTACCAGAACATTGTAATCCATACATAGCCTTACCTAACGAGTACCGGTAAGTAATTCTCCAGGCCCAACATTCCAACATCATGAAAGATTTGGTTCAACTTCAATGCTGTTCAAATGGCCATGTGTACATGTACACTGTACACACATGTACAGTGTCAGCTGAAAGTGAAATATTTTGTTTCTCCAAATCTCTACATTTTGTAGTGCTGTCCTGAATTTACCATATTATTTGTCCATATATTTACATGGGCATACAACTTTTCCCCAGATCAGTTTATTTCCTCCTTTTTTTTTTTGGGGGGGGCTATAATTTTTTGGCCATAAAAATTGAAAAACACTGCAGTCAGTGCAGAGAGTCTTGTCAATCTTAGAATTTTCTCTTTTTATAGTGACTTCCCAGTTGCGTGCCTGATAATAGTTTCTGTACATAATTAGAAAGATTTTTGCAATTGTTCAAAATTACATCACAATAATCATACATTTTCAATACTTCCTTTTAAAAAGGAGCATCAGAAATGAAAATTTACATCCTTTGAGCTGACCGGCATTGTAGCCCTTTGTCAGCTCTTCCTTTGTCTTCAGCTAACGACGCGTTAATTTTGGCAGCAATTACAGGATATTAAGACGGACACATCCAGTCCAATAGCCCCGTGCCAGGACATGGCTTTGTTATGATTGACAACATCCGGACCTCGGCACGCAATAATAGAGGGAAATTTGGAATTAAACCAATTTACTGGAAACCTTATCGGGGCTCATCACTAAACCATACACATTGTGTAACTATATTATCTGCGGAGATGGGATAATTGACAAATAATTACTTGTGACATATTTCACAAGAAATTCTTCCTTCTTTTTTTTTGGCATTTGTTTTGTTAAAGGGAATATACAACATTTGCAAACATCGAAAAATAAAACTACCAAGTTTTTGCGAAATACCTTAATAGGATGTTGGTAAATGACAGTCTAAAGCATCCTGTAAAATTATGGCACCTGGTATACCGTCATTTTCAAGAAAAGTGGTATTTTTGTATCAATTTCCAACGCTGATCGGCCGATCAGCGTTGGAAACAACTGGCTTTTTTTCAAATACTGGCCCCAATTGACCATTGCACTTGTTTGCAATCGATTACAAACCCATGAACGGGTACGAGCCAGCTAGACTGGTTCCCTGACCTTACAATTCCCCAATGTATGTTAACTGCTCTGTTTCTTCTTATATGGAGTCAGGGAACCAGACTACAGGAAAATGATCGTTTTTCTTGGTTTTAGTAGCATTTTCAAACCCAAAACCTCCAAAAAGTCAGTGTAACTATATTTGCTTTATATTTCCAACCCCCCAATTCCATCCATATCTGAAAATTACAGCAAAAGCAAATGATGTATATTCCCTTTAATGACTTGAGATATATTCGTATTATGATCTAAACCTAATATAGGCCTACAATGCACATGTTCGTTGTGTGTATTGCATTGTTGGGTTTTTTTTGTGTTTGTTTTTTTTCATTTCTCATTGGTTCAGGGTTTTTGGGAGCAGTGGGATTTTCAGGTTGTGTTTTTTTGTGTTTGGGATTTTTGGAGGCACATTTCTTGTTTTATTTTGGCTTGATTACGACTTTGATTTTTCAAGATCAGAAAAAAAATAGGCCTACAGTACATGCTGTTGTAAGTCTGAATTATAGAAATAAAATTAATGCTCTGAGAAACGTGCCATGACTTTGCTTAAGATTTTGTATTTAAAAGAAAAAGTACAACTCTTTAGTGATTTGACGGAGCTGGACGTGATTGATGAATCTGTGGCAGAATAGATGGATTGTTTGAGGTTGAATGTGGCCGCTGACCAGCAGCTGACCTCAACTCTAAATAAAACTGCCGAAAACCACAGGGGAAGTGGAGGAACCACTTGTTATAAAATAACTCGGGCCTAGGCTTTTTTATCTTTCCCCTTTCTCCACCCCTTTCCGAAACTGGCTGTACTTCCGGATGCTGTTCATTCTTTCAATTGTGTCCCCTGAGTGCCGAAACCCACGTGGGCACTCTTTTTTGAGAGAGAAACGTCCCAAGAGAAATGGAAATAAAAGGAAATCCAATTGAAGTTTTCCTTTTGTCCGGTAAACGGGCGAATTGTGCATTCATTCACGTCCGCGTACTTGATTGGTTGTTGGTGATTGCAAGCTGCACATGTGTGGGTATTGTGTAGGTCAAACCACTCATGATGTGTGGGGGAGTAAATGCAGTTGAAGTCAGGAAGGTTGGCCTTGATTTCTTGCAGTTGTGCCATCGTTGCTAGTGTAGTTCAATGTAATGATGCTCACTCCCAGCGTTGAGCAAGGAAACTCAGGATATATCCAGCAGTGTCATGCCTGTCAATGTGGGTGGCTATGTCAGTAAGTCGCATACTTTTTGTTTTACTGCATGGTGGGTTGTTTTGTCTGGATAATGTGATTGATGGTTAGGCAGATCGTGTAGGATTGGAAATTGGATTTTTGCGGGTCTCTGAGGTTTTTCTGTAGTAATATTGGACTTGGATAAACCATGGAGCTATAAAAAGGATAGCTCCATGGATAAACTTTTTTTCTCAGTGGACTGTGGGCTTTTATTATGTGTAGCAAGGTCATAAAACTAGGATAAAAAGTGTGACACTTTTTCCTGTCTAAGTTGGTACCCTAGTTACTTTGGTACTTTGTCATTTGCTGTTCAAGTACCGGTACATTGCACCATTAAGAATGGCGTCAAATGATTTGTTTTTGTTGGGTAGGTATAGTTTGCTATTTGTGATCACTCTTGGAGGATCTGACTGCATTAAGGAGTGCATCATAATTATAAATGTCAGATGTAACGGGACAGGAAGAAAAGTGGACTTAACCCAAGTTTATTGAAAGACCTGTACATATGAAAGGTTTTTGCTCATAGTTTTCACTAAGAAGTTACCGGGTAGATGACAACAATGTTGATCTGGAAATATTAACGTCAGTCTGATCCCACACGAATTCCAGTATATATACTGGATTTCATGTGGATTTCGTGGCCACTTTAGCTCAAAACTGAATAAGTAGGCCTACATGTACCTAAGCCAGGTTCAAGTCTGAATTTGACCTGTAGACCTGAGGAATGTACTGTAGACTTGATTCTAGACTGAATTAAAATTGGTGAGATTTATAAAAATTTGTACATGTACGGTACACCAGACCTTCATTAGGCCAAAAAAAAAAGTCTCCGGTTTCTGGTATGCGCGCGCGTCGCCGTAGCCATGCGCGTCGGCAAAATGAAAAAGTTTTGTTTTCAATACAAGATGATGTCTCACAACCGCCAAACTCACTGGTTTGACTGGAATTCTGCTGCTGCACAATTTTAACGGTTTTTAGATGGGGTTATGATCGAGAATAAGCTTTATGTGGCCTCTCTGGACTCCCATATATTTTCATTAAGTTTAGTCAGGCACCATTTGCAGTCATCAGCCGACATTTGAAGCCCAAAAAAATAAAAACAGGTAAAAAAAAAAAAAAAACGCGTTGCCGCACCACTTTTTGGGCAAGCTCCATACCAGAAACCGGAGACTTTTTTTTTTGGCCTTACGTGTAGTATGCTTGTTTCTCAGAGTGAAGTTTTGGCTGGAGCCAAGGCTAAAGTCAAGTTAGGAGTAGTACCGTACCTGTACCTCTGGTCTTCAGGAACTTGTTTTAATTTTACCTGGAAATTGGATCACTGAAGTCAGTGTGGCATTTCATACTGATCCTTCTGCAAGGACTGATGACACACTATTTGGAGAGAATCATTATATATTTAGGATGTTGTAACTACAGTGTTTAACGGATGTGTTTAGTCCCTGTGGAAGGAAGTGATCCACCGTCAACTACATAAGCCTGGATTTCCGTTTGTGCATCCCAGAAATACTTGGGTGTTAAAAATTATGCCAAAGATGTTTGTTATTTATCACATGGTTGTGACAACATCCTTGACACATGACCTAAAACAGAGTAAAGTGGGCCAGTTAAATATAATTGTTTCCAACATGGTTGTAAATTTTTCAAATTTTTTGAAAACCCTAGAATTTTTTTCCTCGCGTGTGAATCAGAACAGAGGCTGGCTAACTTGAGTGAAGTGCTGTCCAGTGATATCAAAATAAATTTTTGTTCTCATGATAAACTTTTAAAGTTGTTTGTAGTCAAACAGACTGTTATGACTGAAAACAAAATGTTTTCAAACCTTCTCTTACATGTAGGTTACACTTCATCAGGGTTTCCACAGTCACGAAAAAAATGCTGGGTGAAAAAAATGACATTTAAAGCCATCATGAAAAGTGATGGGTCGTCTCCTGCTCCAGTGTATATCACTCCTCATTAATTAATAAACTAGTTTTGTGGATGTTGTCTGTAATGGGTTTTTTTTGTAAGGCAGTTTACATTTTGGAATGCGGATGCAAATGCTCAGCGAATTTTGCCTCAGGAACATCTGCTGCGAATTTCACCGGAATTGAAATGAGTTCAGTTTTTGCGAATTCACAGCGCAAACACTTGACGAGACGTCACAAGTTTGCAAATGTACATGTTTTCACTTTTGAGCCGAGTACAAAGCAGCTTTCTGTGTGGAAGTACTCATTTAATTTCATTATTACATTTAATTTTGCATAAAACTTTGGTGATTGTGTTGTACCGCCTGTTTCTACGCAATTATGTTATTGCTTGATTTTAAGTCGCTAACACTCTTGTTGAGTTTCTTTTGTTTTCTTGGCCAAATTTGAGAAAAAAAAGTTTTTTAAAAAACGTTCCACAAAAATACAGGCAACAAAACAATTAAAAAAACAAACTTTGTAATATTAGTATACATGTACTTGGGTTTTCTTTGTTGTCTTAAAACAAGTCTGTTTTCTATCGTGCCTTTTAAATCTTGTATGCCTACCGGTACTCTTAACAGTAAGCATTTCCTTTTTCTTCCTCTGCAGATCCGGCCCGAACTCCAGGGATAACTGCAAATTCTTTTCCACATGATAACTAACAGAAGTAGAGATCATCATGGCTGTCTGTTCGTCTCTGACATCCCCGTCCCATAAACGTCCCACCATGAACCTGGCCATCTGGGTCCTACTTGCCCAACTCCTCCTCCTCCTTGCACCGATCGCTGCCGTGTCTTACCAACAGTTTGATCAAACGGCGGATCCAGATTTCGTGAGACTGGAGCGCATGACCGAAGACGAGGCGACGGGTAGCGTTTATGTTGGAGCGGTGAACAGAATCTACAAACTGTCCAGTGACTTGGCCCTGGAGTTTGAGCTTGTGACAGGGCCAGTGCAAGATAACCCTTTATGTAGACCACCTCCAGCTTCATGCATGGAAACCAAGATATCCACCAACAACATCAACAAAGCCCTTGTTGTGGACACGGAGAGCCAAACCTTGATCACATGCGGACAGGTCTACCAGGGCTTTTGCGAGACACGCCGATTGGGTAATCTGAGTGATGCTGTTGCAGTGTCAGAAGTTGAGGTGGTTACCAACAATGAGGAGGGTACCAACGTAGCCTTCATCGCCCCTGGTCCCGGGAGCAGACATTTCTTGTATGTGGGTGCCTCGCATGGAAATTGGATCAGAACAACAGTACCAACAGTATCGAGGCGTGCGCTTGACACATTTAGACCAGCGGCTGGTTTGAAAATACCTGCAGCGACATTTGAAGCGGCACAGCCTGGGTTTACGTTTGACGTCAACTACATGTATGGGTTTTCCAGTGGCCATTTCAGCTACCTTATTGCAACTCAGCTTGAAACGTTTAACGAAGCTTCTCCATTGTACACAAAACTTGTCCGTGTGTGCCAACAGGATGAGTCCGAGTCCGATAAGTTTAATTCTTATATTGAGCTTCCTCTAGTTTGCCAAGATGCAAACAATGTCACCTACAATCTAGCGAAATCGGCGTACGTCACAAAAGTTGGATCTGATTTGTATGATGCTGGTTTGCCACAAGGAGAAGACATGCTTTTTGTGACCTTTTCATCGGACAGCTCCCCAGCGCAAGAGCAGAAATCCATCATTTGTATGTATCCAGTCAGGACATTAAATGAAGGGTTTGCAGCAAGAATACAGCAGTGTAATGACAGGGGATCAGACAGAACAGACGTTGATTGGCTTGCAAAGACAAGCACTTGTTTCACGATACCAGCAGTGGTAAGCAAGAACAAATCTCTTTGTTTCTGTTTCTTTGGTGTCTGAAGACTGCATATCCAATACTTGCTTCTTTAAGAAGCATCAATTGTCAAAAATGTGTTTACGTGTACCATGAAATGTTGTTACATGTATTTGGACTTGGATACATGTAATTAAAAAGTACATGTTTGTAGAAGAATATTCACACAAATTCACCATTTTCATACCATGCACAAGAATTTCGGTGTAGGAAATTTTGGTCTTCAAATTCTAGCACTAAATGTAATTGTCATTGAAATAAGTTAAGTAAACAGTTCAAAACGTGAAGTTTTGGTGATCTTGGCATGAACATGTGTACCTTTAACACTTGTTTTAGACCTGTTTTAAGTCCAATCATGTTCACTTTTGTTTAGACTGAGGGACTGAGAGACCAGGGACCAGACTATTGCCATATTGCGGATGCCAATGCCCCCCTTGGTGGATTACAACTACCAATCGAAGGACAAGCAATCTACTCCAGTCTTAGCAGCATCACAGCCATTGCAGCAATGCCCCACAACATGGCAACTGTCATCCTCCTAGGAGATGAACTGGGCAACTTGACAAAGGTAAGTGGAAACAGGAGTAGTATCAATCTAGACAACAAAATGCCTGCAGGGAGAATATCAAGTGAAATGAAAAAAAATAAATTGCCAGAAAACTGAAATTTTAAACTACATGCTTTCTACTGCACTCTAAGACAATTTCAGAATACATTTACATGTAGGAACTCCAGTGTTCCATTTATTATTTTTGGCCCCATTTTACTAGTATCATAACATTAGTCAGTGGCTGAACAGGGTGGTTGCAAGTCCCCCCCCCCCCCCCAACCCCTCCAACCCCTCCTCTAGATCCGCTACTAAAGCAAAGCAAATTTGACGTAATAAAAGCACAGAATTTCTTAGGTTTAGGAGTTTAAACATTCAGCCTGAAGTTGCGTATTTGCATCCATACTCTGGATGCAATTCAAATATCAAAAGGTTTATTAACATCTTGTCACTTTTATTATCCAGCTACGTGTGCAGTCTCCAACTGAAGCTCTTCTTTACGAAGAGCTACCCATCGCTAGCGGAACCCCGGTCCTTCAAAACGGGCTGATGATCAGCCCGGATAAGCAGTACGTCTTCCTCATGACGGAAAGTGTGGTGAGTCCATATGCAATCAATCTTATCTGTCTAATGAAACTGAAAGTTTGGAAACTTCTTCTAATAATATTATTGTTCCATAATTATATTGTAATTGAGACTACTGTTTTCATTTCAGTGCATTTTATAACTTCCTTGTTTTGTTTTCCCCGTTAACAGCAAATACTAAAAAAAAATTCATTTGGGAAAAAAAAAAAATTTCTTTCATTATGATTAGAAAAAAAAAGATGATTTTCAATTATGTTCAAATTTTGATCTGCGATTTGCACAACATCTGGCAACCACCAAAGAATCAACAAATTTCTTTATTATTTTGTTTTTTAGTCATTTCAATTTTAATTCATCTGAGAAGACAAATGCTGCACAGAAGCATTCATTTATTTGTTCAAAATGAAGTTCACAGTATTAAGGACAATCCTATAAAATTTGGAAACACCCAGGGTTTGCCCCAACCAACTTGCAACCTTGGGGGTAAAACACACATTCCTCCACTCCAGCATTTTAACAGTTATTAAAGCAGGCCATAAATGCCAGCCTATAAAAGAATTTTAATACCATTTTCAACTTTCTGCCTTTCAATATCGTCTGAAAAGAAAATCCACTCTTTTATTCCTTTTCAAAAGGCTTGGATGACTCACAAATGGTACAGCAGTAGTGCATTCCCTTAATACACGCCGGTTAAAACTTCTTTTCATTTGTTGAAGGAAAAAAAGGGAGAAAATCCGTTCTGTGGAAGGAACTTTCTTTTCATGCCAGAAACTCCTGTGGTGGGGGTGTATTGAGAAAATTCACCGGGGTGTGACAAGACTGTATATGGGCAAAGCTGGTGTGTTGTCTGCTGAGGGTGTATGGTGGGAAAATACCTAGGATGAGGTCATACATGAAAAAAACTTCCCATAGACCATGGTAGACACTGTGTTGTGTTGCAATTCAACTGGTGTCTACCATGTACATGTACAAACTGTACCATCAATATGGAAACCGTGGGAACATGTCGTTGCTATGGATCCCATGTGCATACATGATGCCGCTCATGAAAATATTGATTCAGTCCACTCACGAAGCATTTTCAGAGAACGAAAAGTGGAAACAGACAAAGTTGGAGATACTATCTTTACTTTATTTAATTAAAAATATAACTTTGCAAGCTACATGTACACAGCCTTTAAAGGGAATGTACAACATTTGCTTTTGCTGCAATTTTCAGAAATTAATGGATTTGGAGGATTAGTACATGTATGTTATAGCAAATATTGTTAAAATGACTTTTTTTCACATTTGGGCTTGTAGATGCTGGAAAAACCAAGAAAACCAATCATGTTCTTGCAGTCTTGTTCCCTGACCCCACTTAAGATGAAAGGGAGCAATTAATAGACTTTGGGGAATTGTAAGGTCAGAGAATCAGTCTAGCAGGCTTGTACCTCTTCACAGGCGTGTAATCAATTGCAAAGAAAATGCGGAATAACTAATTATGAAAAATTTGGAGCAATTTTTGAATATTAGCCAGTTTTCTCCAACTCTGAACGCTGGTCGGCCGACCAGCATTGGAAAAATACCATTTTTTCTTGAAAATGTCAGCACACCAGGAGCCACGATTTTACAGGATGCTTCAGACTGTCATTCCCTAACAATCCAGTAAGGTATTTCGCAATAATTTGATCATTTCGTTTTGTGATGTTTGCAAATGTTGTATCTTCCCTTTAAACACGGAAAGTGCGAAAACTATTTCTTGCGTGCTAAGCACCAGTATATGTATCATTAAATTAGCCAAGATTTCATGACATTTACAAATTCAACATGTGCATGTATCTACATTACACATTTGCGTGTCAAGATAATTACAATTGCACATTCATTTTACCCGGTACTTTCACCTCACATAACTTTTCCACATTGGAAAGTTTGTCACTTGTCTTGTGACATGTACAAATATGTAACAAGATATGTGCTTGTCGGTTGAATGTACTTTTCTGATTATAATTTAATACAAAATAATTTAAACAAACATGTAACCAAAAAGAAAAACAAATGAATTTGGGAAAGAAAAATTCAGGACAGAGAAATTGTCCCAAAACCAAGACTTTGGGGCACGTGTGGTCGGTGGAGCACAGGATTCGTGATCGAGAGGTTGTGGGTTCAAGCCCCATCATGGCCATGCGTGTTGTGCCCTTGAGTAGGGCACTTTACCTCAATTACTCCTCTCAACCCAGGTGTTAAATGGGTACCGGCATTATTCAATGCTGGGAAGGTAACAGATTCGCTGTGGAGGAGGTGTGGTGATCCCCCCACAGCAGCATATGAGCCAATCGCTAACGAAAGAATACAGGTTCGTCCCCTTTGTACAAAACTGCATGTACTTTTTTCCGGAAAAAAACACCTTTTAATAGTATAAAGTTGAAACCTCATTCCTCCCTTCTTGGCACGCTCTGCCACTCAGGTGAAATGTGTTCCCATCCCCCAGCCCGCCCTGCCTGGACTGTTTTTGTAAATCTCCCACCTGTTGAACCAAGCATTCCCAGCTGCATGTCGGGGCTTGTCTGAGGACGGCATAACAATTTCCGAGTTTATGATCAGAGACTTCTGGTGATGAATCAAATAGGTTGACATCGTGGGAAAATAACTGGACCTTGGTCTTGCATAATACACATACATGTACATTGTAGTGTGTGTGTACTAGGGTAGTACTACAATACAAAATGAAAGAAGTACATATTTGTGTACTTGTTTGTTGAATAGTTTTGGTAAGTGTCATCTCTTTTAAATTTTTACATGTATGTGAAGAGCGTTGTGTTGTCTGAGGATTTTACACAATTGATTTTGTTATATCTGTAGAAATTAGTTGTACTGTCCTACTTTAACTCCCGAGTTTATTGCAAGTTAAGTGACTCACCAAGTTGCAGTATGTAAACAGCCAAAACTGGGCCGAGTCCATGCACAACGCAACGCGAACGGGGCGACTGCCCGCGCCGTGAATGCGGGGCGAGTTGGTTTCAACTCACGTGGTGAAAACGCTCACAAAGTTCGGTCAATAAACACTCACAAAAATCCACGAGAGAAACTTGGATTGCTCACTGGAATAGCTCTGCCGATGTTTAATAAATCATGTAAAGAATAGCGTGGATTCTAGCTTGTAACTTCCAAGCGAAATTATAGGAAAAGCACTGTAAATATTGCGTGTGTGACAGAAAATAGCATAGACGAACGATAACGAAACGAAAACTGAATGCGCGAAGGTTGACCTCTGAACTAAACATATATACAAGATGCGTTAAAGGCGCAGTGCAGGGTAACTTAAAGTGAACGCTACAGTAGCCCCCCTCTAGATCGCAAAATGGTATTGAAGCGAGCGATAAGTGTTCAGGTTAAATCAACCACAGTCAAAGTCTGTGTACTTGGATGGCCAATGAACATGCCGGCCGGAACGCGAGTGCCGTTGAGCTGCTGGTGTTGCTGTGTGTTGGTCATCAACCGTGTGCGTAGGGATGGCAGGAGATGGCTGTACACGCTTAAGCTCTAGGGTAGATGGCTGGGAAGGGGTGGTATCTGTATCGAGGTATGCAACTTTCAACCGATCTAAGCTGACTGTGTCCTGCCTTCCATCCAGGTCGAGTGTGAAGTACTTGTCTGTCCGGCTGAGTACTCGGTATGGACCTTTGTAGGGTGTTTGGAGGGGTTTCTGCACATGATCGCAACGGACAAATACATGCTTGCACAACATCAAATCCTTGTGAATTTGTGCAGTTCTGTCTCGCGACCGAGGCGGTGTGGGTCTGATGTGCTGCATCGTGTGTCGCAGTCTGTGAACATAGTCTGCAGGGTCGGCGAGATTACCAGTATCGTTGGGGGGTGCAACAAACTGTCCTGGAAGTCTCAGGGTGGTGCCAAACACCAATTCGGCGGTGGAGCAACCAAGATCCTGCTTTACCACCGTGCGGATCCCGAGGAGGATGAGTGGTAATGCTTCGGTCCAACGTTGAGGGTTAGTACTCGATTTGAGAGAGGCTTTGAGCTGTCTATGCAGGCGTTCAACCATACCGTTTGCTATGGGGTGGTACGATGTTGTTCGCGTGCGTCTGGTACCTAGGAGAACCATCAAAGCGTGGAACAGGGCCGACTCAAACTGTCGTCCGCGGTCTGTGGTTATCGTAGACGGAGCACCAAAGGTGGAGACCCATCTGTTCACAAAGGCCTTGGCGACTGTTTCAGCGGTGCAGTCGGGTATAGGTATTGCTTCTGGCCAGCGTGTAAACCTGTCAACGCATGTGAGTAGATAGCAATATCCCTGGGAAGGGGGGAGTGGTCCCACGATGTCTATGTGCACATGATCGAAACGTGCATCTGGAGATGCGAAGGTTCCAAACGGAGTCTTGGTGTGGCTGTGGACCTTGGACTTCTGGCACTTGACGCAGGCCTTGGCCCATGCTCTGATGTCTGAGTTCATGCGTGGCCAGACGTAGCGTGAACCAACCAGTTTCAGTGTTGCTCGAATGCCAGGGTGAGACAGATTGTGCAAGGAATCGAACACACTCCGTCTGTGGTTTTGGGGTACGAAAGGGCGTTCATGACCTGTCGACACATCGCACCAGATGGATGTACTTGAGGTCGGTATCGGAACTTGCTTGAGGTCCAGGGATGTGGGTGATTCCAGGATTCTGTGTAGTTCCTGGTCGTGTGTCTGATCCATGGCCATCTGCTCGAAGTCAATCTGGGTTGATGTTGTCAAGGCACTGATGTGAGATCGGGAAAGCGCATCCGCTACAACGTTCTCTGTGCCCTTGATGTGACGAATGTCGGATGTAAACTGAGATACATAGTCCAGGTGACGAACTTCTCTAGGTGAATGCCGGTCAGGTTTGGAGTTGAGAGCATACACCAACGGTTTGTGGTCAGTGTAAATGCAGAATTCTCGTCCTTCGATGAAGTGTCGAAAGTGTCTGACTGACAAGTACATGGCCAGTAGTTCGCGCCCGAAGGTGCTATAGCGACTCTCTGCAGGTTTA